CAGCTGGCTGGGGAATTCTGGGAGTTGAAGTCCACGCGTCTGAAAGTCGCTGAGGTTGAGAAACACTGGCCTAGTGGTTCACCCAACAGGCTCAGACAATGGTGGCTGGGTTCCAGTGTCCGCCTCGGCCTGGTTGTGTGAAGCCCGCCCTGCAGGACAGGGTCAGAGCACCTCCGCCCCCTGGGTTGGCTAGCCAAGCTGCCTGCCCTTAGGTGTATACTGCAATCCAGGACTGTGTGTGTCACGTTGCCCGCTTCCCCCTGCAGATGGCCATGCAAACGTGGGGTTCACAGGACTCCTGCTTGTGGCTCCTCAGCTCACCCAGTCTTCTGGGTTTGCCCCATGAATTAGGCACAGCCTTGTTTGCTTTCCATTTAGCATGTTGGGGGGACCCAGCCAATGGTGGTTTGTTTAGATAGCTAAGGTAAAAGCCAACTATGTTTTAGCACCAGATGGAGCAAATCCAATCTATGTAGGTGATTGCTCTGCCCTGCTATTTGTCTCTCAGCAATTGGCCTTCCCTGATGTGTTGAATTCTGGCCAGCTGACTGGGGATTCTGGGAATTGAACTCTAATCCTGTATTAAAGGGACCTGCTTGATCTGGCCCAGGCTTGTAAACTTGGTTAGCTCTTAAAAACTCACGCTTATTTCTGAATACTATATTGGATCAAACTGATAGGCTCTCCCTAAAGAAGATGCCCTGGCTTGTTTGCTTGAGTAACCTGCTTTGCTAAACTACTGTTTGAAACGGAGCTGAGAACTGCAGCCTCTTTCATAGCCTTAATTTCTCCTTGTGCTTGTTTCCTTTTGAAAAATATGATTTGGTGGGACTCCCAAATACAGCAGAATAAATTCCCACCTTGTTTTCTGGCTGCTGTTCTTTTGTAACTAAAAAGGAAACCTTTTGCATTGCTCTATGCTCCACCCCATCATCAGCAATTACTTCCTCCCTATCTGTCTTTCCTTTACATCTGTTGGAGAGTGCCCTGAGCTGAAGAACAACACATCCTGCCTAGGGGAAAAGCACCAGACCGGGAGCTACAAGATTTCAGCAGACAAGGAGATAAGACTGGAGAGAACCAAGACAGAATGGTCAGCTTAAACAATTTCTAATTGTGGGTGGGGCCCTTGCTTCCAATGTTGGGTTAGCTGTCTTGGAAAGTGGTTTTTTTTTTTAATTTGACTGGTCACTGCCAGTCAGTCAGTTATTCCTTCAGATGCAAAATCCATCGGGAGGAGGTTCTGAAGGCACAGTTTCTTTGCCATCTTTCAAAATGAAGCCTCAAGAGAAACAGTTATGGCCCAAGTTGGGGCCAGGCTCGTGTTGAAACGCACTTCCTCTGCAGTGTGCCGTATTGAAAGATCAGCATTTCAAAACAAGGGCGTTTTGGAGTGCTTTTGAGTAGTTGAGTTTTAGTGATAAGGAAAATGTAGACTGCTTTATGAAGATTTAAGCCTATTTAGTCATGAAACAAAGAGACAGAATCCCCTTATCTCAGGTTTTCAAGAAGAGGGTGGAAAAATTTCTGTTAGGCATAAAATGTCCTAGAAACAAAGTTGGCAGATGAGATTAACTCAACCCCTGACAACCTCGTGATTTATGGCCAGTTCAAAACCTTTCTGCTTTTGTTGATGTTGCACCATCAATACACGCAGGCAACATAGTTTCCGCTGCCAGTCTAACATCAAAATGGTGAAGGGTGGAGGAGATAAGACTATACAGTAGGCATATGCTGGTCTGACCGTAATAAAGGCTTGACTGACTGTAGGCAAATGCCATTACATGAACCAAACGTTTTCAGAATGAGGATGCAGAGGCTAAACCAAAATCCATGTGAAAAAAGATGTGTTTTGTGGAGGATTGGAATTAATTTCTTTTTTTTTTTTCAAAAATGAGGAACTGCAGAAACAGAAAGGCATCTAGAAAAATACTGCCTGGTTGTGCATAAGTCTTGTGCAACCAGCTGCCTGCCTGCCCTGCTCAGCTCCATATAGCCACATGGAAATTGGAATTTTTAGTTTCAATTTTAATTACAGTTTATAGCTATAGCTAAACCGTTAGGTATAGAAAAATGGACTATGGTTTTAAGAAAACAAGCCTGTTTTGCATATGTCATTTGTTCTACACCCACTTGGGCATTTTGTTACTGGATATGAGCCTCACATTTTGGACCAGGCTGAAAATATAGGCAACCTTTTGCAGTAGTCAGAGAGGAGGGGAGATTCATGTTGCCTTCAGGAAAATGAAATGATGCCAGGCGTGATACACGTGAGTGGAACAGAAAATCCACATTGCTCTTTCTTTTTCAGTCAGACTCTCTGGTTGTGTGTGATGTGGATCCAGAGCTCTTAGAGAAACTGAAGAAATTTCGTTTCCAGAAGGAGACTAACAACACAGCTATAATGAGTGAGTTACCCCCTGTGTGATGCAAATTAATTGTCTGTCCCATGTTTTCCCCCCCTTGGGTGCTCAAGCATTGTGACTTAACACAATTATTAGTGCAAAACAGTATGCTTGGCCCATGTATCACAAATTCAGTACAAGAGGCACCCAGATCCTGATACATTTCAAACATCTGTGCTTCCTCAGTGAATATGCATGTGTGCACTCGTGTGTGTGTGTGTACACTTTCAATGAGCTCCATTGTACACCATTGTGATTGTATTTTTTAACCCAAGAGGACAGCAGCCTACTAGTTTGAAATGTGTCAGCACTTTGGACACCTTATATTAAAGTGGCTTTGGTGTTCATTGAACCTCTGCTGACAGCTGTATAGGCAACCTTTAACATCAGTTAATTTGTCATCACTTCGATGAAAGTGAAGGAGATCTGAAAACAGCTTTTGGCTGTAATCCTGCTTACTGTAGATTTCTTCAGTGCTGTTAAAGTCAGGATTTCAAGCTTAGTGCTCCATTCTCACTCTTGTCTACCAGTCGTGCAGGAAGATTTGAGAAGGACGAGGAATTTGTGGTTGCTGAAACTGCAAGATTTGTAGGAACAGATGGAGGTGAAAGAATTATTAATTGGTTTCTCCTTTCTCTATCATCAGTGAAAGTTGACAAAGATAGACAACTGGTGGTTCTGGAAGAAGAATTTCAGGTAGGCAAAAGTTTTATTTCATTTTTAAAACTAAAATGAATACAGTATTCCCATTAAAGAAGGCCACATATTTTGACTCTATTTAAATACCTATTCATAATTCCAGTCCATAGTTTAAAGCAGCATTTAGCTTAGGTAGGGAAAACATAGGTTCATTCAAGGGTCAGAGAAATGTCTAGCATGTATTTGCGGCTGAACACGCTACAAAGAGCAATTAATGCAGAGCTGACTCACATACACATAAACCAAGCCACAGGGGGCAGAGAAAGATACATCTTTCCTGTCGTCCCAAATCAGTCAGAACTGTGGAGTGCTCTCTTTTATATCAAATAAAGTGCTCGGTTAAATCTGGAGCATGAGAAGGGCTGCATCTTATGAATAGTTATCTAACTGCTTAACTGTAGTTTCATATATTAAAATAAAAACTCAATTTTATAAAGCTAGAAATGTGTATTTTGTTATAAACAGAGGACATTATAAAGGAATTTTGCCTTTTGGAGTAAAATTGAATTATCTGCACTATGGATTAAGATAAAATATGAGCCAACTCCTTTCCTTCAACACAATGGAAAGATAGCAATGATGCCAAATCCTAAACATACACAAGATGGGATTTTTTTTTTACACGGAGGGCACTGAAATGACACGCTTTTGCATTTCTCTTTCATTTGCTCTCATTCCTTCATGTGTGCATGCACGTACATTTATATATGCATAGGCATACACATTCCATTTCTACTCCTCCTGATTTAAGTTCATCCAAAAGCTAAAATCCCAATGTGTTATGCCATTGGTTGAATCTGACTTAAGGCAACATCACTTTTTCCCCAAAAGCAAACTCTTCCACTATACATTCCAGCATTGATATAAATTTTGCTAGAAATTACTAGGCCAGACTAAAAGCAAATTGAATTTCAAATCAAATTTATTATCTTAGGGGAGCAATGTGCTGATGACATTGTTTGCCTTCCTATTTAATTCAGTATGTTTTACAATCTTCATGCATGTCAGTGAGATGTTAATGATTTGATCTCTAGTTCATTGCTTTTTAGTAAAGCACAAGGAGTTGGTGGGATTTTGTGGAGGACTTTGCCTCCCCCTTTTATCAGAATGCAAAATCATTTTAATAGTTCTGAGGGAATCTCCAAAACAGAAAGCGGTGCAGAGAATAGATACTTCCAAACAGATTGCTTGATTGCTTGATTGATTTTATTAAATCTGTCCCCGCCCATCTCCCCCCACTGGGGGACTC